AAAGGAAAAGGGAGAAAAGTGAGGCTAGGAACAGTCTGAAGGGCTCCTTCAAGCCTAGCAGACCAGAACCAAATCTCAACTCAGTCAAAGCTGAGTCTGGACAGAAACCCAAGACTGTCCAAACGGGCCCCCCAATATCTCTCTCTCTCTCTCTCTCTCTCTCTCTCTCTCTCTCTCTCTCTCTCTCTCTCTCTCTCCCTCTCCCTCTCCCTCTCCCTCTCTGTCTCCCTATCACACACACACAGGTGTACCTGTTCCACCATGTACAAGTGTTCTCTGTCTGCCAACAACACATACACTGTTCTAGAAATAAGAACATGCATGCCCTCTGGAGAACACTCCCCAAGTACATCTCAATTGTTAGATTGCATGTTTGTTTGTTAAGATAGAGTCTCCTTGGAACTCACTATGTAGACCAGGCTGACCTCGGTTTCACAGAGATCCACCTCTTCTGCCTCCTGAGTACTGGGACTAAAGGTTTGCACCACCACACCTGATTGTTGGATTTCATCTTCATCCCAGCCCTTGTGAGTGTTCCACAGACACTTAGGTTTCATGTAGAAATCTTCTCAAATTACAGTAGCTTCACAGTCCTCCATTCTTCTAGACGCACTTTCCCCAGCCATATTTTACCCTTGACAAAGACAGGGCAGGAATGAGCATGCCTGTTTGCAGTCTGGCTGAGATCACAGAACTGGGTTGGAGGGGGGTAAGATTGTTCGTGTAAGAACTTTGGTTGTTTTTTTTCTTTGGTTTGGTGTTTTGAGACAGGTTCTCATGTAGCCTGGTCCAGCTTCCAATCTCCTGCCTCCAACCTCCTAAGTGCTGGGATTACAGGCATGTGTCATCAAGTTGCTAAGGCAACTTTTATTTTAATCGTGTGTGTGTGTGTGTGTGTGTGTGTGTGTGTGTGTGTGTGTGTGTGTACATGGAGGTTGGAGGATAACCTCAGTTGTCAGTCCTATCCTTCCACCTTGTTTGAGACTGTCTCTTGCTCATCTCTTCATGTGCCAGGCTAGCTGCCCATGAGATTCTGGAATCCTTCTGCCTCCCATCATGCCATAGGAGTGCTGGGATTGCAGGTATCAACTAAGTATTTAGATTCCCAGAGATTCTGGAGATCCAAACTCAGGTAAGTGCCATTGGATTATCTCCCCACCCCTAATAATGCAACATTTCTCAGGTTCCCAACATTTCTGGAACTCAGACTTCATGCAAAAGCCATGCTCCATGGAGAAAGTCACCTTAGAGTCAAATGGCTTGAAAATACAACCTAGAATAATTAGGGGAAACTGAGAATGCTTCCTGAGGGCAATCCCATAAAGGCTGTTTCTATAACTGGGCGCATTTCTTCTACCATGGAGGTTCAGTTGCCCTGGTGAGGAGAGCAGAGCCTTCTGTTTGTGTCTTCTGCTGTATGTGCTGTGTATCTGACCAAAACAGCTTGGAAAGACAAGGGATGGTTCTGGGAACTGGGGCTATGCCACTCAGCCTCAGTGCCCTCATTCTTGCTGCCAGAGTCTGAGTGGTTGATCCAAAGGCCAAGGGAGAACTGGGAATGTGGTAGGAAATCTCACCTTGGGAAGTGGCCAGGAGTAGGAAATGGGGCCTGGCCTACTCTGTCTCTAGAGCTTCCTAAATTCCTTCCACTTCTGATGCCTTTTCCCTGAGAAATTTTACTTGAACCTAAATATAACAGGTATTTAAGATAGGTGTGCAAATCAAACATTTATTGATAATAAATCATAAAGAAATTCATTTTAAAACAAGTCTTTGGTATATCGTTTATCATTTATTAAAGACGAAAGCCAGTCTGCCTACTGAGATGGATGTGATTGTTCATTTTTAAATAAAGAATTAAGTGCTGGCTGAATGTTTGATACTAAAGAACACAGAGCATCTTCAATGTTTTTCAGAGTTGACCAACATTTTGATTTTATAATCATCAGTCCTGAGAATGTCACTTCATATACATACACAGCATCAATGGACACAGTGACACACACTTGTAATCCTAGTGCTTGGGAGGCAGAGGCAAGAGGGTTAGTTCAGAGCCATGCTTGGCTCCATAGCAAATTTGAGGCAAGCCTGAGATATACAAGTCTGACTCTATCTCAAAATAAATAAATAAATAAACAAATAAATAAATAAATAAATAAATAAATTACACACAAATATACATAGTACAAAATGGCAAGAGTAAGTTAAGAGTCATTCCATAAATTGCTGGAAATTCTATCCAAACCCCAAGCCAAAATACATTTAGTAATTTTTTATGAAACTCAAGCCCATTGTTCTTTTTCAAATTATTTATTTTTATTTTATGTGTATGATTGTTTTGCCTGCATGTCTGTAAGTGCACATTGTGCAATGCCCACTGAAGCAGAAGAGGACATTGGATCTCCTGGAATTGGAGTTATGGATGATTGTTAGCTACCGTGTGGGTGCTGGGAACCAAACGCAGGTCCTCTGCAAGGACATGACTCCTCTCCAACCCCAAATAGCCGTTCTTAAAATCAAACATTCTAATGCAATACAATCCAAAAATATACTAATTTGATACATAAGGAATTAGTCTAGAAAATAGTCTTTTTTTCAATAATCAAACCATTAT